ACATTTCCTCCTTTTTATGTTTTGTGAAAATAGGGGTTGAGTGGTGATTTTATGATATAAGTATTTTTGATTGTGTGTGGTGTGTTGCATGAGTCTACAAGAGTCCATTGAGTGTGGTTGGATGGTTGGTATAAATTATTAGCATGTGTGGTTAAGTTGGGACACCACATTTTTGAGATTTTGTGAAAAGTGGTCAAAATGGGGTTTGGTGTCCAACTTTTTATAGAAAATGAGTTTGAATGTAAAACCAGTGCCATTAGCTAGAGCTAGGAGAAAGCTCCATGTAGACATTGAAACCACCTCAATCGAACATCGGACAGAGATTTGGGATGCGTCAGAAGTTCGCATCCTGTACTATCATATGACAGCACTGATGCTGTCAAATTTCATACAATGCGTTGTGGCACACAGCACAAAGAAGACACGCCACAGCGCACATGTTGTAAGCCACGGCACATGTGACACTTTCAGCACCAAATCTATTTGAGTTTTAAAACTCATTATTTTGGGTCCCAATTGATTTTCAAGCTTCCGCTTTATTTTCAAAACTCTTAATTGGAGTTCTTAAATCATGTTTGAGATTTGAATTGTTGAGATTAGGATTCCTTTGAAAGAATTTTAAGAAATTCCTTTCATAAAACTTTACAATTTGGTAATCCTTTGAGGGTAAAACCCTGGATTACCATGATTGGGAGTAATTTGCAGTTTAACCTCTGGAGGTTAATTACATATAATCTCTAGTGGTGTCAGAATCCTAACTTTTCTTAGAAAAATAGTGCAACCCTCAATCAAGCTTCATCTTCTAATGCAAAGCCAATCATTCCTTTAGGTTTCCCTTAAGTTAAAAAGCAGTCTATTCCTATTCAAGAGCCGAAAGTTAACTTAGAAGATATGATGGCTAAGTTGATAAGTTTTCAAATTAAGAGCAATCAAGAACAAGCTACCATTAATGCAAGAGTTGATTGATCCTTTAAGAATCTTAAGGTTTAAATAGGGAAAACTGAAATTGCTATGATTGCACTTCATAAAAGGGGATTGCCAAGCTATATGGACATGAATCCTCATAGAGAAGGAAATGAGGAGTGCAAGGCAACGACCTTCCAAGCATCCAATATAATGTCCGTTTCAGGGATGCGAATATGGGAGAAAAGAGCATTTGTAGGTACTGCCTTCAGTGCAGCCAGCTGGAGAAAATAAAATAACATTAGCAAAAGACCAAGACAAAGCTAATAGGAATGAAAATAAAAGGCAAACAAGACTATACTTGAATTAAGTCCACGAGAGCTTTGTCTTTTCTCGTGGAAGAGGGGAGAGTTCGGGCAGACCGGGCCGCCGAGCGTAAAGCTTTCTCCACACAGTCCGTTAAAGTAGAAGGACCAGTTTGACCTTGCGTTGAGCCATCTTGAGCATAGACCAGAGCAGTTAGAGCATTACTCATGGGCTTCCTTGCAACCCCTCAGAGTTCCTACCCTCTTGGATATTTGTTAAGTGGGAGGGAAGGATTAAATTGAGTGGGGAGACCATTTGGGGGTCCGTAGTAGTAGTAAGGTCTTGGACCCCAAGCTCCAGCTTGTCACTCGAGGTGGTAGTAGCAGCTTCTCCTTGATCAAAAGCAGCCCCGACATCTTTTAGACCGCTTGTGGCTGTAGTAGACAGGATAGCTCCCTGACCTTTATCACCAAACGGTTAGATGCTAGAATAATCTATCTCATTTCTGATAGCTTGTGGGTTAGCCCAGTGCAATGTGTTCCCAAAAAAGGAGGAATAATAGTGGTTACTAGTAAACAAAATGAGTTAATTATAACTCGAATAGTTACTAGATGGCACATTTATATGGATTACGGGAAGCTTAATGATGCCACAAGAAATGATCACTTTCTACTTCCTTTCATTGACTAGATGTTGGATAGATTGGCTAGTAAGGACTTCTTTTACTTCTTGGATGGATATTCAAGTTACAATCATATTGTTATAGCTCTTGAAGACCAAGAGAAAACTACTTTCACATGTCCTTATGGCACATTTGCCTTTAGAAGGATGCCGTTTAGTTTTTGCATTGCACCTGTTACCTTCCAAAGGTACATGATGAGCATTTTTTTTGATATGATCAAAAAAATTATGGAGGTGTTTATGGATGACTTCTCTATTTTTGGAAAATTTTTTGAGAATTGCTTGTCAAATTTGGCAAAAGTCTTGAAATGATGTGAGGAGACTAATCTAGTTCTTAATTGAGAAAAATGCCATTTTATGGTGATCGAAGGTATTGTTCTAGGTCATAAAGTCTTAAGAAGGGCCTTGAGGTTAATTGGGCTAAGACTTCAATCATTGAGCAATTGCCACCACCCACTAATGTGAAAGCTGTGAGGAGTTTCCTAAGGCATGCTGGATTTATTATCAATTCATCAAGGACATCTCTAAAATTTGAAAGCCTTTATCTCAACTACTTAAAAAAGACACTCTTTTCAATTTCAATGAAGAGTGTACAAAGGCTTTTAAAGAACTAAAAAGTCAATTAATTTCTATTCCTATCATTGTGGCTTCTGATTACCCACTACCATTTAAGGTTATATGCGATGTGAGTGACAATGTTGTCAGAGCAGTTCTTGGATAGAGGCATGAGAAGATCTTCTATCTTATCTATTATGCGAGCAAGACTTTAGCTGGAGCACAGGTAAATTACTCAACTGTTGAAAAAGAAATGCTTGCTATTGTTTTTGCTTTTGAGAAGTTTAGATTTTATCTGATGGGTGCTAAGGTTGTAGTTCACACTGATCATGCTGCTATTAAATATCTATTAACTAAAAAGGAATCTAAACCTAGGCTCATTAGATGGGTTTTGTTGTTACAAGAGTTTGATGTGCATATAATTATTAGGAAATGATCTAAAAATTAGGCTGTTGATCATTTAGGGTACCGGATTGTTGATTGCTGAAAATTTCCTTGATGAGCACTTATTTGTTGTTAGCACACGTGATTTGCCATGGTATGTAGATATTGTGAATTATCTTATGTGTAGAGTATTACCTCCTTATTTGAAACCTTTTCAAAAGAAGAAATTCTTGCATGATGTCAACTTTTACATTTGGGAGGAAACCATTTTTGTTTAAAAGATGTGCTGATTTGGTTATTAAAAAATGTGTTCCTAAAATAAAACAAGATGACATATTGAATGCATGTCATGCATCTGCATATGAGGGGCAAAGGATTGCATTTAAGGTACTTGAATTTGGTTTTTATTGGCCTAGCTTATTTAAAGATGCTCACCATTTTGTTGCTAAGTGTGATAGATGTCAAAGAATAGGAAACATCTTTAGAAGGCATGAGATACCTCAATTAGGGATTTTGGAAGTGAAGTTATTTGATGTTTGGGGGATGGATTTTATAGGGCATCCCTCTTTAAGAGGAAATCAATTCATACTTGTTGCTATAGAGTATGTGAGTAAATGGCCTGAGGCTTTGACTTGTCAGTCTAATGATGGAAATATAGTGATTCAGTTCTTGAAGAAGTTTATATTCATAAGGTTTGGCACTCCTAAGGTAATTATTATTGATGAAGCCACTCACTTCAACAACAAACAATTCAAGGCTCTTTTGTCAAAATATGGTGTGCACCACAGAATGTCTCTTGCATATCACCCACAACTAATAGTCTCTGTGAATTGATTAATAAAGAGATCAAGCGAGTACTTGAGAAAATGGTGGGTTTAACTAGAAAAGATTAGTCTGACAAGCTGAATGACACTTTATGGGCCATTAGGATAGCCTTCCGAACTCCAATTAGGATGTCCCTATATCGCCTAGTTTTTGGAAAAGCATGTCATTTGCCTCTTGAGCTAGAATATAATGCATGGTGGACAATCAAACAATTGAATCTGGATCCTAAACAAGCTGATATGAAAAGGTTGTCTCAATTTCATGAATTGAAGGAATTCAAATTGCAAGCCTTTAAAAGGAGCAGACAAAACGATGGCAGGACAAGCACATTGTGCATCGTACTTTTAAGTTGGGGCAATTAGTTCTTCTTGTTAATGCAAGACTCAAGTTGTTTCTTGGAAAATTGAGATCTCAATGGTCGAGTCCATTTAAAGTGATTTCTGTGACATCAAGTGGGGCAGTAGAAGTTAAAGATGAGAAATCCGAGGATCAATTCAAAGTGAATGGGCAAATGTTGAAACCTTATCATGGTGGTGAAGTGGACCAATAGACCACGGTTCATAATTTTTCTCAAGCTCTAAGAGTTTTGACAAAGTCTAGCTAAAGACTATAAAATTAGCACTATTTGGGAGACAGCCTAAGATTTCTTCTCTTTTCTTTGAGTTTAGTTAGTTTTGGTTGTTTTGTTTTTGCTAGGATTTTAGTGTGTTTTATGTTTTTCAAGTGCATTGTGCAATTGCATGTGTGGGCTACTTGGAATCAAATTGTTGGAAGTGAAAATCAAGCTTAGCTATGGAATTTCAAGCAGTTTTGCCATCTTAATCTTCATTGTTAATTTAATTTCCATTGATGATATTAATTGTGATTTTATATGCTTTAATTGAGATCGTTTAAAGGCCTGATTCTGATGTGATTTCATGTTGAGGGTAGTTTGTTTTTTGGTTTGTTACTACTGTTACTGTCTTTACTATTTATGCTGTAGCATACTGGATTATGCTGTGGTATAATTGGACCTGTTATCATCTAGTGAATTCCAATAAACAATTATGTCGTGGCATAATTTGAGGTGCTTCAACATAAATGGTTCCCCTGTTTCTGTTTTTAAAATAATAAACATTTCAGGAAAAAAACCTGATAATTAATCATTTTTAGTAAGTAATTTTTTTAATCATTAGCTGTTTACATGTGTGTGTGTATATATATATTTAAAATAAAAATATAAAAAAAACAAAATGTCCACAGATCCTGTATAGTTCTTTTGTTATTATTTTATTATTATTATTCTTATTAGAATTATTATAATAAAAAAATTTGTTCACCCTCTTTCGGTGCCCCCCACCCGCAGACCCCACCCCATCAGCCCCCACCACTGTCTTCCCTCTATCCACGATCGCTGATCACTGGCCACCGTCTCTGGCCACCTGCGTCAACCTCTAGCCACCGTAATCACTACCTGACGTCTGCTCAAGCTCCGTCGTTCACTATTTTCCAGTTTTATTTCCTTTTAGCGTGCTTGCGTCGTTCTTTCCATTCGCTTTTCAGTCTCTTGCATCTCGTCTACCATTTTCCGGCCACTGTGGTTGCTCATCTTACCATTGTCTTGTGCTCGTCTTATCCCTCGTTCGATTTTCAGCTTAACGCCGTGCTGCCGTTCATCCATTTCTGCCACACCATTGACGGCGACACTCCTCAGTTACTGTTTTCACCAACTATCGCCACCAGCCCCTTCATATCTTCACTTCCAGGTTTTCGATTTCGTTCTTTCTGTCACCATTGTTCTTATTACTGCTCATGCCATCCATTTCCTCAGCTTTTTTGGTTTGAGTTCATTTTTAAGTTTCCCTTCTCACTCGTCATCCACACGCCCAGCTTTATTTGTTCTTTGTTTAGACTGAGGTTCTTTCTCATTTAAGTTGCTTTCTTTTAGTTTCTGTAGCTTGTGAATTTGTTCCTGGCCTGAGACTTATCCTCGACTTGAATTTGGCTGCACTAATTCTGCTACTCTGCGTGAGATATTGTATATATTGGGATTATATTGCACTGATTCTTTGCTCTCTTTATTTGAGTTTGATTCGTTTATATCCAGTTGACATTTGAGCTCGTTGCCTTGGGGACTGTGAACTTGATTCTGGATTGTTTTTGGGATGCTGGCTCTTGATTGATACCTTTGTTCTGCGTCCTACTCTTTTTGGGTTTTTTTATTGTGATAAGTGCACTTTGGTTGCTGCTGTCTTTCTCCTGAGTAATTTGGCTTTTAGTGTCTCTATTCTCTCGGTCAATTTGTTCCAAGATATGCCAAATTTTTGCCATTGGTTGCCTTGACTTGGTTCTTTGGATTTTTCTGTTCCTTTTTGAATTTAATATTTGTCCCACAACGTACTATTAGACAGGTTGGCATTCTTCACATTAGTTTTTGTTTTCTGTGGTGCTATTCTTGTCTTATTTTCCTTGGTTTGATTTTTCCGTTTATTAGTTAGTGTTGTTCTTTTGTTGTTTCGTGTCTTTATCCTGTTCTTTTGTTTCTCTTTTAAATTCTTTTTGTTTTTGTAGGAATGCCACCTAAGGAATCCACTTCTAAAAGGAAGACAAAGGACATTCAAGTCCCTTCCGATTCACCAGAACTTCCAACTGAACCAGCCTTAAAAAGAAGAGGAAATTTGATTTTTCCAAGTTCATAGATCGAGTTACGAGTGACAGATTTGACACAAGCATAGCTTCCAAAGACTTCCATGAGGATAGGTTCTTTGAAATCCCTTGAGATAAGGCTATCTTGAAGAATTTAGAGCAGCAAAAATGGACTCAGTTTCTCCACCAATTAGATCCTTATATACCTATCTTGGTTAGAGAGTTTTATGCCAATGCTGCTTCTTGTAAGGAGGGTCACTATTGGGTCTGACATCACAAAGTAGTTGTGAATCCTGCAGTTATCCGTGCTCATTATAAGTTACCTCCAGTGAATGATTGTCATTTTAAAAAGTGTAAAAAGGAGGGCATTATACCTAATTGGGAGATCATCATCCCTGTTCTTGAAAAGAAAACAGCTACTGCTATTGGTTCTAAATTGGTTAGGGATGACTTGTGTCAGCAAGCATTATTCTGGCTTCACTTTGTCTCCCATAATGTCTTGCCTAGCTCCCATGTTTTTGCGGTCACTAGGGATCGGGCCTTTTTGATCTATTGCATTTTGCAAGATTTACCTATTGATTTGTCTGTGTTGATGTTCTTTCCGATCAAGAAATGCATTACTAAGCTATCCGGACAACGAGCTTCAATGATTTTCCCTCATTTACTCACCGCTCTTATGTTGAAGTCTAAGGTGACAGTTGACACATCTGATGACCGCCCTCAACCATTGTCTGCTCTCAAGTATACTTCTTTCAATGCTGGTTCAGATGATGAGGGAGCGGCCCAGGCCCAACCAAATGAGGAGCAACTTGCTCCTGTGACTGAGATAGCACCAGTGGACCCTGTGTTTCTTCTTGCTTCCTTTTGGACTTTTGTTCATGATCGCCTTGATCTCCTTCTAGCACAGCAGGTTCTATTCAACAAGCGGCAGGATATGATGTGGCGTGCCGTACAAATGATGCCTGGTTTTGTTATGCCTAGTACGAAGGATCCCTCTCTCTCTTGTTTAGTTGTTATTTAATCATTGGGGCAATGTTTAATTTAAGTGTGGGGGAGGGAGCACTTACTTTCTTAATTGTTACCTTGCTAGTCTTTGAGTTATTTTGTTAGGAATTAGTTGTCCATATTTGTGAGTAGCTTAAATAGCTTTAAAAAAAATTGAAAATTTTGAAAATCTTACAAATATATTATTTAGGTCAACTTTTTTTTTTTCTTTTTTGTGAATGTTGCTAAGGTTAAATTGATTCTAACTTTAAAGGATTAAGTTTGATTAGGAGTTGGTCCCTTCTTCTTAGAATTTTAGTAAATAGGCAACGAATTAAGCTTAGATAATTGAATGTAGGTTGTCCAAAAAGCTTATGAGAAGCTTGAGCATAAATTTAATATTCTCTTAAGAGGGAGTACATTTATTGTGATTTTATCTCTAGAACTTCTTTTGAATCTTTGTTGAGACTTGCAATAGCCATTTGCATACACAAAAATAATTTAGGCGTTCATTTTCTTAGTTAGTCTGGCCAAATATCCATCCTGTTTCATAATTAACTTTTGTTTCACTCGTTTGAGCCACTTGCTAAGAATTATCCACTTTTCATCCATAAGCCTTTTTGCTAAGAATTATCCACTTTTCATCCATATCTTTTATTCCCGTTTACTACTTTGGTAAGTGCTAAGTAGTACATTTATAAAGGAAATTGAAGGAATTAGAATTGAGGTGGGGATTCAAAAGTGATAGAAAGAAAAGAGGAAAGTGAAATTTACAAAAACAAAGAAGAAAAGAAAAGAAAGTTAGAAAGTGCAAAAAAAAAAATATATATATATATATAGTGAATAAAAAAAATGTCAAATGAAAAAAAAAATCTGTTGATCCTCATTGGTGCCTTTTGTAAATAGTTGCAGTTTGTCCTTCAATTTTCTTATTTCTCACTTAAGATGCTTAGTACTAACTAGAGTATGTAATTTTGATCCATTGAATAATTTCATTTCATCATCATATTTGAAATATTACAACCTTTGAAAAGTCCTTTTAATTTGTGTGTGCATAGGCATAGTTAAGCAGAGATTAAGATGACAAACAAGCATATGGTAGATGGGTTGCAATACGTGGAAATGAGAGAAACACTAACATTTGAACACCTTGAGCGTAGAGTGCAAACACTTGACCGATGAGGGACAACTTGTTAAAAATTATCTTTGTTTAATTAATTGCTTTGTTACTTGCATTCTTGGAAGGTTGGAAAAGTTTCTAATTAAATTGAATCCTTGAAAGTTGGAATTGCTTTTGACCTTAATACATTCACATAATTTGTTGTCATTTTTGTACAGTGATTTTCTTTTGCTTGAGGACAAGCAAGACTTCAAGTATGGGGGTTTGATGACTATTTTCATGTGTTTTTAGGAAATTTTAGGTTCAATTTGGAGTCATCTAAATAAATTTGAGAGAAAATGAGACTATTATTTGAGAAAATGAAAGAAAAGTTCTTTTGAATATGAGGAGGGAGAATTGGTAATATCTTGTTGACATGAATGGATTACTTGAGCTAAACTTTCATTAATGATTTTATATTGTGTGTAAGGTAATCCAAATTAAGACTTAAAGGGCTATATGTAAATAAAGATTGACGATAAAGAAAAAGCATGATTTATGTTACAGCCTAATTAAGTAATTGTGGGAATTATGTTGCAACATAGCCTGATTATGCCGCAACAGTATCGTCAGTTACCGAAACGCATAGCTTTGCAAAAAAATTGATATTTTTAGGTTTCTGAACATTGTTGCTTGTCATTCTTTGTCTTTCTTCATCTCCAACAGCTCCAAATTGACCAGGGAAGAGGGAGAAACACCATGGATGAGGTGGAGAAGCTTGGGTTTCATAGGAGATTAGTGATTTTTGTCCAAAATCACTCCGATTAAGCTTTCTTCTCCTTCACTTCTTCGTTTTGATGTATTTTCTTTTCAGTTTTGCTATTTCCAGAATAATGTGTGGCTAAATCTCTTAGACTTAGAGGAACTATGAACCTATTGATGGATTAGACTCGTATTTACTCATTAGTTATGCTTATTGTTGATTTTGGTTGCTTAATCTTATGCTTTAATGTCTATTTAATGTTTGGCCAACATTAAATGTGATTTTGGGTGTTGGGATTTTTCCTTTGAGAAAGGAGAATTTCTTCTAGACCATAGGATTAAGTAATATGGGATTAGATTTTATCTAATTTGTTGTTCCTAAAGGTCAGATTGGAATTGGGAGGTCTATTCGTGCAAAGAAATTGACTCCTAGGTTTATTGGGCCATTTGAAATTCTGAGAGAATTGGGCTTTTGGCATACTGGATTACTTCATCTCTTCATCTGTCAGGTGTGCACGACATGAAGACTTGGTACTTAGATAGTAGTGCCTCTTACCATATCACTCATCAAAATGTGATCACTGATTCGAATTCTCAACCACACACTAGTACACTTATGGTTGGTAATGGTGTTAGGTTATTTATTGTTGGTCATCCAACTGGTACTCTAAAGTGCAATAATTCTCAACTTTTGTTGAAAGATATGCTTGTTGTGCCTTCAAAACAAAACAAACAAACAACAACAAGCCTTTATCCCACTAGGTGGGGTCGGCTACATGGATTGCAAGACGCCATTGTGCTCTATCATTTATTAAGCTTTTAGAAATATTATTAATTAAGAGATCACGTTCAACAACTTCCAAGAGTGTTCTCTTAGGCCTTCCTCTACCTCTCTTAATCGGACTCAAAGTTATATGTTCCACTCTTCTCACTGGTGCCTCCCTTGGTCTTCTTTGTTGTGCCTTCCATTTAGAAAAATTTGATTAGTGTTTTTGAGCTTGTTCTTGATAATGATATGCTTATTCAGTTTTTTGTTGATCTATGTGATGTGAAGGAACTGAGAACAGGACACATTCTTCTTAGAGGAAAATGGTGTGATGGCTTATACAAAATTGATGGTGTTCCACAAGTTTATGATTCTACCTCCAATGAACACCCGGTAGCTTTACTTGCTGCTTTGGATACTTGGCATAGATGTTTAGGCCATACATCGTGTAAAGTTGTTAAAGATGTCGTACAAATTTATAATATCTCTTTTGACAATAAAGAAAATTTTGACTTCTTAATGCTTGCAATATGGTAAAATGCCCAAGTTTCCTTTTCAATCTTTTGATTCTAAAACTAAAGCACCACTTGAATTAATATATATTGACTTATGGGGGCAGCTCCTGTCACTTCAAAATCTAATTTTAAGTATTATATAAGTTTTGTTGATGATTTTAGTTGTTTTATGTGGTTCTATCCACTTCATTAAAAGAGAGAGGCTCTTTTAGCTTTTCTGCAATTTCAAAAACTTAGCTTGTAGAAAATTAGTTTGATAAAAGGATTAATGCCCTTCAAAGTGACTAGGGAGGAGAAGATTTTAAACAGCATTGGTAGAGTTTGGTGTTTTATTTCATCATCCTTGCCCTTATACGTCATAACAAAATGGACATGTGGAAAGAAAACATCGTCACATAGTTGAAATGGGATCAAGCATGTTAGCTCAGGCCTTAATGCCTTTACACTTTTTATGGGAAGCATTTATGAATGCTATTTATGTGATTAACAGGATACCTACTCCAATATTAGGATACCTACTCCAATATTGGATCAGAAATCTCCATTTGAAGTTTTGTTTGGTTCTAAACCAAATTATGGTGGTTTGAAGATTTTCGATTGTACTTGCTTTCCAAGTTTGAGGCCATATAATAAACATAAATTAGAGTTTTGTTCAGAGAGATATATTTATTTGGGTCCTGGTCCTTCAGATAAGGGATATAAATGTTTATGTCTATTTAGTTGTGTTTTTATCTCGCACCATGTCATTTTTTAATGAAAATGATTTTCTGTATGCAAGCTTAATAACATAATCCTCTTCTTCTAAAAAACTAGACACTAGTTTTTCATTACGAGCGTGGCTTCCACACCTCTGTCCTGACCATGCAGAAATATAGTCTTTATAGACTGCTTCATGCAACGAAGAAAGATTGCATTGTGTCACTTATTTCAACAGTGTTGTTTCATGATGTTGAAGCTACTCTCTCTCAGACTAATAGTAAGTCCAACTCTTTTTAGTTAGGCCTAAATCAATGATGACTCAATTTATGAGGCCCAACTCTCAATTTCTGACTGGTTTTAACCTAGCTTGTACACTAAAACTATTTTTACAATAATAGTATTTGTCAGATACACATAATTGGACTGATCTTCTCTTGTCTTGAACTTTTGGAATGAATGACAATCTAACATTACGTATAAAAAGATTATGTTCTTGAATAACACTTGAAGGAGGTTGAGAAAATCTGCAATAAGAAGTATGGATATCTAACCTTATTTATGTTGTTTGTCCGTGTTTATTTTATTCAAACAAGAAATTACAAAAGTTGTATTTCATTTTAATTTTTCCTTAACTAACACACTATAAATCTAATAAATAAAATGTGTAATAAATATCAGGGGCATTCATAACACACCTTAAATTTGAAACGTTCCTTGTTATGATGCATGGCATTTTTCATTCTGAAGCCATTATGTACATTAATTATTGTGCCACATTAATTATTATGTACAAATAGAAGATATCTTGCTCCGGGGTATGCCATGCGTGGTCACCTTACAAAGAAAGCAGATGTCTTTTCCTTTAGTGTTTTGGCCCTGGAGATAGTTAGTGGGAGGCCAAATTTTGATTCAAGCCTGGAAGGGGAGAAAGTGTTTCTTCTAGAATGGGTATGTGATCCCTCTCTTTTTCCTTTGATTGTTAGGATGCATTTGGCTTATGAAAACATTTTAAATTTTCGCACTCTATCATGAATCATTCTTGGACAACATCGCGGAACATGTCTAAAATGTCTCCAATATCGATTGAGTGGGTATTATATTGAGTAATACTTCACTCACTTTGTTGGAGATTGTGAATAGCTCCCTTTTGTCTGGAAGAGTCCTGATGTGTTCTTATTGTCAAATTACATTTCCTTCACTTCATCCCATATTCTTTTATAGTAGCATAGAACATAGAATCCTGCCCAATCTCCAGGCTCATATAGTGCTGATGAGTTATGACATCATTTGATTCTCATCTTTCCATTTTTTGAAAACTCACTCCTTAACAGCTGAAGAGAATAGGAATGATTTCTGGGCCTTGGCTTAACTAGTTTTAATTATTTTTGGGCTGATAGGCTTGGCAACTGCATGAAAGCAACTCTATACTTAGACTGGTAGATCCTAGACCATCAACAGGTACAAGTTTCAACGAGAAAGAAGTTAAAAGGCTTGTAGGGATATCTCTTCTGTGCACTCAATCATCACCATTGTTAAGACCACCCATGTCCCGTGTCGTGGCAATGCTTTCTGGAGATATGGAAGTAAGCACTGTAACTTCAAAGCTCGGATACTTGATTGACTGGAAATTTGATGATTTGGGCAGCTTCATGACTGGCTTGGCCACAAAAGGATCAGGTACAAGTCAATATAAATCATCCACGAGTACCAGCACAATCAGTACTACAAACCAAGCACCTGAAGTTGCAAACCAAGCTCATCCTACATCACATTCTTAGTGAAGGTAGGTGAGAGTTGATGATTAGTAATGCATGTTTTCTTTTCGGTTCCCCAATTCTATGTATAATATCCGCAAGAGAATGAGATTGTGCTTATAAAATTTGTTGTTTATTCATATCATCACCTCTACATTCCGATGTATTTTCAAATTTTTATTCTCTTTATTTGTGACTTCATCTCTCGTTGATGAGTAACTAATTTTTTTTCTTTTTCAGTAGTATCATCAATATATATAATTATGTTATATTATTCATAAACTATGAAAAGATTACTCATTTCTCAGACTTTATGTGATACATAGGGATTTCATCTATTTTAATATGGTAAGAGACGTGAAATGAAAGTTATGTTCTTATGATAGGAAACACTGCAACACAAGCTCCATTTGTCCGCACACGCAAGCTTCACCCAGTTGCTCATTTTGAATCTTAGACAAGTGTGTACCATTTTTTATATAACTATATGATTGGCTTAAATTCAAGCATTGTTGAGCCTAATTATCAAGTCTAATTGAGAATAGCTCTTGCAAAAACAATTTCAATATTCACATAAATTTGAACCCAAAATTTTGTGCGCATAAATCCATTTATTATAGGGTTAAATAGTTATTTGGACCATGAACTATGAGGCAATTTGAAATCTAAATTCGTATTTGATATATTTTAAGTTCTGAACAATTAAATTAAGAGCAATTTAACTCTTGCCATTAATTTTAAGGAAACCTCATTAATTGTGAACCCTTGAAGTTTCGCTCACTCCTTATTTGTTTATGTCTCCCTCCTATCTCTCTCTCTCCCCCCTCTCTTGCTCAGAAAATGTTGATGCTCTCATATGGAATCGTTCTCTTTTTACATGTTCAACCTCTTGAGGATGCAACCATCAGCATTAGAAAAGCTCCTCGAGAAGTTCAATTCCCTCAATTGGTAGCTCTATGAATCTTGCCTGCAACACCCTCAGTTTGGGTTTAGCATGTGAAATTAGTCTCATAACATGAAGTCTGAGAGACGAAGTAGCGAGGAAGATGATGAAGTGATTCAATTTCACTTTGGACCTAATTTCATTGTGCACCATGCACGCACCACAGCATATGACACAGGCTTTTCTACTTGTTTTTCTTTACGTTTTGACCTTCAAGTGATCCAATTTTACTTTGAATCCAAATTATACTTGAAATTCCAACTAAAAACACTTATTATTCTTCTTTGACCACACACCATGTAAATTCTATTAATGACGCTTAATTATTTAATTGTGGAGGTTAAATTTTTGAGATGTTACAACTCTCCTGTTCTTTTAAGAATTTTGTGCCCAAAATTTCATCAATCTAACAAAGCTAGTAAAAACATACCTCAAGAGAAGAAGTGAAAATATTGCTGCTTCATTTTCTCCTCGATTTCTCACGAAGCATCATTGAGAGTCATCCCTTTCCATATCCTGAATCATGTCTAAGGTAGCATAATAGGCAGCGGGAGAGGATGAATAACTATTATTATAATAGTTGCAATCAAATCTATAAAAGCAATAAGCAACTTCATGACTAACACGTGTACAAAGATGACAAAACTTCCCATTACGTGCATTATGTCCTCTGCCTTTACTTCCTTATCCACAACTAGAACCACGTCGTTATGAGCGTAAGCCTTGAGGTTCCTGATAATTACTAGAAAAAGAGCGATCAATCTGAAAACTCAAATAAGCAAAGGCCATACCAACTGATTGAACACCATGTAGGTGTTCAAGATGACATTCATAGTTCAATAGATAAGAATGCAAATCGATCTAGAAGAGGTTGGGTTTGTCAGCTAGATGAACTACTATTAGAGTATACTTTGCATCTAAACCTGCAAGAGTTTGCATAACAAGTTTAGATAAGGGAAGAGGATGCCCAGCAAGTGCCATATGATCTGAGAGTCTTCATTTTTCTCAAATATTCTTTCATCTTCATGGAGCCTTTTCTAGTACATGGAAACTTTGTCTTCATCAATGTAATTTGGGATTGAGCATTAGAACATGTAAGATTTGCGACCACTCTACAGAACTCTGCTGCTGTACGACAATGTAACACCTGCATTGAAATCTCAAGAGTCATAGAACCCAAAGGCCAACCATATGTTAATTTATCAGTAGCATGCCAATCATCAAATGCAAGATTAATGATAACTTTATTTCCATTAAAAATGAACTCTGGTGGACATTGTTTCATCTCAATAGTAAAACCTTCAAGCTTATGACTTCAAAGGATAGAGAGAACAAAATTATGCTAGAGTAAATAATTGGATCTGTCCAACTTGACAAATCCTGCCTGATTAAGGCTATTGAGGAGTGGAATAGATTTAGTTTCAACAATAGCAAAGGAAGGTGTGGAAGGAGAAATGGAGGGTAAGGTCACATGAGTAGTAACTGGAGAAGACGAGTGAGCTAGAATAGTTGAAGAAAAGAATGGAGAAGTAGAAGAAAATAAGGATGAGGATGAAGAAGAATGATGCAGAGGTGAAGTGGAGGTAGAGAGAATGGGGAAGGTTGCCATAGATGCTTTCTTCTATAATACCAAATTGAAAAAGGTAGAGAAAGATGTTGGAGGCTCAGTTAATGTGAGTGGCACGACTGATTGCTACTCATTATATAGTACAAGAGTTTGTTACAATAGGGTACATGTCATATGTTCTACAAAATTCTAAATAATGAATAAAGAATATGCTATTACAAAATCTATAATAACAAACATATTCAAGACTTGGACTGGTTGCTAGCCTTCTGCTTTTTGGGCTTCTTATTTGTCTTGGGTTAAACTGTGGGCTGATCATTTTTATCCTTAACATATAGGGACTGAAGCTAACAGCTGGCAACACATACAAGATGCAGCATAATAAAAAGTAAGTAACTGGTAAAGCTTTTTATGGTTGCCCATTGTAGCATCTCTTATTCATGACAGGTCAAACTTTATTAGGGTGTACCCTTCCTTTCCCAAATTAATTTTGGTTCATTAGGGGAAATAAATTAATTTTCCATTCAATAAATGATGATAGAAGAAAATTAACTTTGAAAGAAAAAATTACAATTTATAAATTATCATATATTATAATTACCACTTACAAGTTCTATTTATAGGACCTTAAATGTTCTCTTTGTTGTTTCGACGTTTGCTTTCCTTTCTGTTTTACATGTTTTGCAGATGCTTGTTATTTTGCAATTTGGTTTGAATGAAGTATTCCTTTAGGGGGGAAAAGATTTATAGGACCCTACAAATTATATAGCATTTGATAGGGTTTTCATGTAGATAATCTCTTCCAACCATATTCATTTTCTTCAATACCTTTAATGTTTTATCTATGTATGGCAAGCTAAAAAGCATTACTAAAAATGTTGTATCTGTATATAGCAAGCCAGAATGAAATGCCTGATCAATAATCACAGACAAAAAGAACCTGAGAAGAACATTATCTCTCCACATTATACTTTATACGTACAGATACAAAACTTGTTTGACTGTCCACCTGAATATAAGATCCAAAGGCAGTGGAAAGGAACACTAAAGATCCAATAAGGGATCTTTAACTCTTCAAAATTTGAATTCATGTTCCAGCTCCATTTTTTCCTTACCCAATAGCTAAAATGGAAACAAAGAAGACGACTTTATTTTGAAGAAAAAACAATGAAAATAACTAATGAAAAATTGAAAGAAAAGACAAAAGAGAAAGAAAACAGAAATAAAAGAAGCCAAGCAATGCATAATTTTATTTTGGACCCAACAATTTTAGCATGAAAAACTTGTACAATTGTGAAACACATGGCTTGTGTTAGTTCAGGTGCTCTTCTTCTTCTTTTCTACAAAGCACGTAGAATACAGTTAAAAAATTAATTCATATTACCATCTTGCTATCCAAAACTTTTCCAAGCCAAAGAGTAATACTAATGGAATATAAATTGATTTAACGATACTTACTTTCTTGAATGGACAAATGCATTTATATAAAGCATTAGCCCTTAAGGTCGTTGTTCACTGAGTCACCTTCTTATTCTTACATGAGACTTCCTGCCGGTGACTCTAGTAGGTTTCAACCCACTGCTTCTGATTTTCTCTCCGACTATGGCTTCACATCTGCATCTTCATCTTCTTGTAAGTCCACTGCTTCTAAAACTCAAGTCCCGGCAGTTTGAGGTTCGCCTCCACTCTCCACAACATTGTTTGACTCCTCATTGAGGTTCTGCAACAAAATCTGTCTAATGGATTGTGATGATAACTGCATATAAACTCAAGTCCTTGGTCATCAAAATGTTGTACGTGCTCCTGCCCCACACACTTTCGTGCTCCTTCTATTCATTTATAGCTTTAAATTTTGAGCAAAGCATCAAACGAAGATGGAATAGAAGATGAAGAAAAGTGTAGAAAAAGATGAAGATGGAAAAGAAAGAAAGAAAAATAGCAAGAGGAAAACAATAAAAAGAATGAAGAAATCCCACCATGGAAATTGAGGAAGTGATATTCGAGCCAACGAAGAGAAATCAGAGCCAGCAACAGTGGTTGCTGCAATTTTTTCTGCGAGCTCAATGAGGCATGGAGAAGAAGATAAATAAAGACTAGATATGGGGAGAGAGAGGTGAGAATGATTTGGAGAACAGCTGAATAGAGAGGCAATATGTATGAGATTGGTTTGAACCGAAGAAAGCAAAAGGGGAAATAGAGAGAGAAGAGAAAAGAGGAAATATATGTTAAAAAAAAAAAATGGACGGCTCGAACTAGCTTCAGCACAACCGATACGTACCATGTATATTAACTGAAAAAACAGCTTAACATATACAGCTTGCACAAAGCCCAAAGCAAGCCGTGTTAACACCCCCAGACACAACCCAAAAATGGTTTTACGAACAGTGAAATGAGTCTCATGCCATGAGTAAAAGCACTGGCGTGGAACTCTATTCTATGATATATTGATTCCATTGTGTGCAAGAAACAATAGAGTGGGCTTTTGACTTTGTGAGGCAGGATTTTGACCATTTTGATATTCTTAGATTAGTTATACCCCAATTTGGTCTCTCCTCCACGTAACAATCTCCAACATGTGTAAGAAAGAACAGAGTCCGACTTTCATTTTACCGTAGCATTTCTAAAGAGCAAACCAAGAATTTGATTCCTGAGTTGTCATGCCAATCTAGCGTCAGCATTCAAAAGTTAATGAGTATGAATTTATTAACTTGCAAATTTGCTAATTTTGGAGAACTAAAATTTAATTAGCCAAACAACAATTCAAGGACAAATTGTTAATTTATTCATTTTCAAAATAAAATAAGATGAGGATGATATTTTGACAAATAATTGAAAGAATATGCAATATAAACAACTACAGTTGACATAGTCTTTAATCCTAAAAAATCAGCAACCACGGTATTAACTAATGCACAAGTTCAATGAAGGGAAGTAAGAAGATGGAAAAACTAGAAGCAAGTTGGGAAATAATGAAACTAATAATACAAATGAAATTCCAACCCAAATAAATAGCCCAAAAGATTTAACCATACATGGGGAAATAAAGGTTCTAATAAATAGTATATATTAAGAAAAGAAAATGGAAAACCAAATTTTAGGAGCACAATCTCATTCTCTTCTGAATACTATACACATGAATTGAGAAAAAAAAAAAATCAATACTCATTACTTAATACCTTTTCTGGTTCTATTTATAAGAAACAACTTTATATCCAAAGGAAGTCCTTACATGCTTTCACTAGGAGTTTGAAGAAGGATAGGTTTAGAATCATCCACAGGTGTTTGGTTTGCATCGCTAACTACCCTAATACTTTTCTGTTGAGTTGTTCTGACTTGCATCCGATTGCTTTGCCATTGGCCAGTTATGAAGCCGCTCACATCATCAAATTTCCAGTCTGTCAGGTATCCAGGCCTTGAAGTTACAGTGCCCACTTCACTATTTCCCATAAGCATTGCCACAACATGGGACATTGCTGGCCTTAACAATGGTGATGATTGAGTGCACAAAAGAGATATCCCTACAATTCTTTTAACTTCTTCCTCATTGATATCTGATGATAGTTTAGGATCTACTAGTTCAAATATACAGTTATTTTCATGTAGCTGCCAAACCTGCGAGCCCAGAAATCAACAAAACTAGTTAAGCTAAACCCACCACACCAAAATACAAACGCGCGCTCTAGCTATAGAAGTTGGAATGTGAAAACACACACACACTTGCACTGATTGTAATCTAATCTTGCAAGATCATAATGATACCGTAACCATAAGGATTAGGATATTGATAAGCCATTATGGCCGAGGCTCCTCCTCTATGTATAAATTCCCTTGCTCAAATGTACATAATCAAGCAATTGGATCAAATTTCTCTGCAAGGTGAAATGAGATTTTGTTCTGACTCATTGATTGCTTCCGCAAAATGCTAGTGTTTGAACTTTGGATTACAACTTAAGTGCTTGGTTTGGCTTAAGTTGTAAATAGTCATGTTCAATCAATTCTTTTGGAAAATAAGACTGATTTTTATCAAGACTTTTTATTTAACGTTCCTAAAAACTTAGTTAATGTTAGAGCACAATAACGTTGTACAATTCATATAGTTGACCTATCTAGTGAGATAAGGTTAGTTGTTGTTTTTATATAGTTATGTAAGCTGTCGTAAGTAATTGTTATTAAAGGGGAAAAAATCTGTAATAAGTAATAGCCCCCAACTTCAGTAAGCAATTAGAAAAATCCAGGGAAATACAGTAGAAAGCATACACTCCTAGGGAAAGTGAATGGAAAGGAAAAGTCAAGTGTCCCCTAGCGTAGCATCTCGAGCTCCAAGATACTCCATAAAACTCTAGCCTACTACAATTACCCTAGCCGAGGCCATATAACCTATTCTCCTCTCATGGTGTTTTGCCACTAGATTCCTAGTGGCTACTGCCTTCTCCCTCTAATGGACTCATTATATGCCTCCATTTTAGAGTTTGGACCAATTCCCTTGTTTCTTCTTCTCATGTAAACCTTTTTGAGGTTGTTGGCCCAAAAAATAAAAATAATGCTTTTCAAGCTGATGAGAATGGGCTCATTAAGGCCTACTTTAAGAGAAAAAAGCAAGTTTTTTTTTTCTGCTAGGCCTTTATAAGCTCAAGCCGAAAAAACATACTAATCTTAAAATTGATCATTTTTTCAAGTTCAACCCTTATTGATTGGGCTCAGGGTTGAGCCTATAAGCTCTATTTTTATTTTTAATTTTTTTATATTTTAAAAGTTAACTTTTACATTATAATATTTCATATTCTATTTTTAAAGTACAAATTATAATGTTAAAAAATTTAAAATAAGTAATATAAAAGGAACAAAATAAAATCACATTTTATTTACTTTAATTCTATAAAATATTGTAGGAGATCAAATTCCAATTTCTATAAAAAAACTAGACATAAAATGTGCACTGTTGTTATTCTCTTGTAATATGAATCATCCCAAATATTGTTGACCAAGCTATAAAATCAAGAAACATTTAAGGTCATTTAACTTAAGTTAATAACAAACAAGAAAATTTTTTTACTTAACAAAATAAACATATTTTTTAAATAATGAAAACTTACCAGCGAAAGTAGAGAATGAAACTTGCATCCAAATAATATCAAAAAATACATGTAGTATTCATACCCATTCTAGTAGATACATCTTATCCCTGTCCATGCTTGAATCAGAATTTGGTCCCCCACTAAGGATCTCTAAGGCCAAAACACCAAAAGAAAACACATCTGCTTTCTCTGTGAGGTGCCCACGCATAGCATACTCGGGAGTAAGGTATCCGCTATTGACAGTTTAGAATTAATGAAGACAAAATGTATACAAGCATCAGCACTAACAAATATAACATATATAAAGTTACATAACCAAAAAGAACATGGCAATTGAGTCTTGATGACTTACATTGTCCCAGCTATACGAGTGCTAATATGGCTCTTTTCATCATCATATAATTTGGCTAAACCAAAATCAGATATTTTAGGGACCAGCTTGTGATCAAGCAAAATATTACTAGCTTTTACATCACGATGTACAATTCGGAGCTGTGATTCTTCATGAAGATAAGATAAACCTCTTGCTATACCCAAGCAAATATCATATCGTGTGGGCCACTTTAGGATTAAACAATGTCCTATCATATATACAAGCAACATATATGCTAAGCATAGCTAAGAGAAAAATAAGCAAAGACAGTTAAAGATTGAAGTATATAGGTTCACAAACACGCAAACAAGAAAGTAGAAAAGATAACATCATCATACCAAATAATGCTTGATCAAGACTCCTGTTTTCTAGATACTCATAGACAAGAAGTCTTTTATCTCCTTCAATGCAATATCCATATAACTTAACAAGATTACGATGCTGCACACTAGATATAGTAGCAATCTCTGCTGTGAACTGGCTCTTTCCTTGACGAGATCCTACAGACAGTTGTTTCGCAGCAATTTCCCTTCCATCGTCAAGTGTTCCCTAGCATACAAAAAGGAAAATGGTTACTCTCTGAAATGAAGGCTAGAGCTCTAGTTTTAGGAGATGTTGTAGGAGATGTTGTATGATACCATGAAAAAAAGCTTTTTTCTTCCATGTAAAGCCCTGAAAGTTTTTTTGTTTTCACAACCCTAATAAATCTCATTTGTAACATTGGCAATGATAAGGCAGTGATATGCAACGCAATTGTCATATCAAATCCCTTCACAAAGTATTCACCTTATAAACAGGTCCAAAACCTCCCTCTCCAAGCTTGTTGCCAGGATTGAAGTCATTTGTAGCATTCTTTAGCTCAGAATAGCTGAAAGTGTATGGCTTTATATCGACATCTGATAGCTCTGCAAAGTAAACAGGAACAAGGTTGTGATTTTAGAAAGTGAAACAGGTAGAGTTTATGCTTGAGCTGATAGCTCACTTTCTTAAAAAAAAAAAAATTAATAGAAAAACTTCATTCTTATACCTACTTTACCCTTATTCAACATAGAAGAAAAGAAATCAGGTAGCAAAAAAATCAAATCTATTTCTTATACTTGGACTTTTCAAGTAGAATAAAACGTGTTTTTAAAATTTTTTTAATTATATTTGGATGCAGAACCCACACACCGATTAAAGATGCTGTGATGAAATGTCTTGTCATTGTGGACAAACACAAATTACAGTGTGTCCAATCCGATCTTAACAAATTGCAGAAATGAACAAGCACTCTTTATAATCTAAAATGACCTTTATGAATATGTGCAGTTACAACTTAAATTTGAAGAGGTGTTGTTTATAATCTGATATATTACACACACAAACATGCAATGTTTATTTACCTTCATCGCTGTTTCCATGAGACTTTCTTCTCTGAATGATATAGAAAACCACAAGAACAGACAGAAAGCTTACAACTCCAATAGCAACAATTCCCATAATCAGACCGGTTCTTCTCTTTTTAGTAGTTGGAGGTCTGTTACTGACAGTGGGTTTGAAATCTATACAACACATTAGGTAAGTAAACCATACCAAGGTCATACATCAAATCTTTTGGTTTTTTGGAAAATCATAAATTGAAATTCAGGATTGTTGAATTATCTTATAAGGTTTTACCTGGGGTAGCATTGATTGCTGAAATCAGAGGACCGTAAATTGGCACGTCTCCAGTCCCTTTTCCAGCCCAAAAGAGATGGATCTCAAGATAGTTTTCTGATACATGAGCTCGAAATTCCTTTTGGACAGCTCTAAATGAGGCACCCCCAGCTTCCCTTCTTATGTCAAAATTTCTAGAAACACGATTCCCCTGAATGAGAAAAAAAGAAAAGGAACAAATGAGGGAGGAGGAGACCAAAATGAAACGGAAAAAAAGGAAAGAGAGGGGATTTCAAACAGTAGCCACATGAAAAGTTTGTCATTTCAAACACCCAGACATCTTCTTCTTTAAAAGAACTAGTAAGATTCCTCTAGTATCAAAAGAAAAAAATACAAGAATTAGTAAGACAAAGGTCTAGAATTATTATCCGGTGCAACAAATCAAGTGTGCAGTAGCTTTAGAAAAAATGTCATGCATCATATTGGGGATCATTTCAATCCAACATCTTAAGTTGCCATGTGAAGGGCCTTGATATTTTTAACACACTCCATCAAGCAAAGGTCATTTAGGCTTAAAATGGGGGCAAAGCACAGATTTACTTGTCAATAATGGGGTGGAAAAAATCAAGCTCTTGAAAAACTTGGTCATTTATGACTCTAGTACCATGTAAATTATAATGTCAACTAAATAAGCAATGTTGCAAAGCAACGGCCCCTGATGTGTCTCACACACTGATGGAAACTTGGTAGTATGAGATATTAAGTCCCACATTGACTAGCATGGAACAATTAACAGAGTATCTAATGAGCAGGTTCTCCCACCTTAACCACTAGCTTTTAGAGTAGGGTTTTCATCCCACTTAGGAACCCATCACAGATCTTGATATCAAATTTACAATTCACTGGTTAATACAAATTCTGAATGAGCTTGATATAAATGTGCACCTGGATATAAATATCAAAGACCCGTCTTACAAGACTTCTCCATGATGAAGTATTATCTAGAATATATGTTTCTGCAAATTGAAGGGTGACATTGTAATCCCCATTTTCCAACCCCAAGCCATAGTATCTTAATGAAGAAGCAGAAAGCCGGGCTGTCTGGAAAAGCTTTGGATTCAGATCAAGAGTATTAGTGTAATGAATATCAGTATCCACAGAACTTGTGTATTTGTCGCCGGGAAGTAATCCAACATTGCTTACTGCCCATATGTTTGTATCAGTAGCAAAATAAGTAGCAGGGCCAAGTGTCTCATCATCTTTTTCATATGCAATTCCATTTGACGTAATGGGAGGACCACCACAATTGATTGCAAAGTTATAATCTGCATAGAAACATAAAAAATGCTACTTTAATGAATGAAAAAGAGAAGATTAAATTTTCAAAATAAATTTCAGATAAAGTATGAATTTTCTTGCATGTTTGACTATTGCAGATTAATTAAAGTAACGAAGTGAAAAATTATTCATCATTTAATAAATACTACAATATATTACAACTACACTGTTACAGAAGTCTTCCATACGTCATTTGAGTGCATTGGAGAAGAATAAAGTGAGGGAGATTGTTGAAAGGCCTAAGGAAAAGAATGTTGTTGATTGCAAGTGAATTTTCTCATTGAAATACAATGTTTGCCATACCTTCAGTTTTAATGCTTACCATGACAGAAAAAAGATTAGCGTAGTACTTACATCTTCCTATACCGCGATTGCAAGGAAAATTTTGCTGTAAACAATTGAGTCCAGAAGGCAAACCACTGGAAAAGGAAAGAGAGTGCATCAGACAAAAAAAAAAAAAAAATGGATTGTTAAAGTAACATTCATTTAAATACGTAAAAAAAAATAATACAGAAATTAACTTTAAATTTTTTAAAGGAAAAAAAAGTACGTTAAGTAAACCTGTTCTATTCATACCAATCTAAAAGATGTGTAAATATATTTTCCAAGTAGCATACAGAATCAAGAGCTTTGATTTCAAAAAGAAATTTTGGTTGTTAAGGCTTCTATTTCTGACCACCAATCTGTAAATATATTATACACCTCTTGAATGAGCTCCGCTGATCTCCAAGTTTCTTTGTCAAGGGCTAGCTCATCTTTAAGCCTTTAGGTTCCTAGGAATGATTTCTTTGACATACACTCTATAGGTAAGTGTTGACCAAGGCATACCAAACCTTGTGCTAAAATCATTTAATTAAGAGAATGAAAGTAACAAGCATGGAACTGTTGGTCATTTGGTCATAATGACTCTTACACTTCAAGAACCAATTCGTCCCAGAACTTTAAAATGTTAGGTTTTTGGACAAGATAAAATCTAACAGCTAAACTGTAGGAATATGGCAATAATTATAATAATATTCTTGTAAATATTAGAATTAAATATTGTAGATTAGTCATTTATTTGTTTCCTTTCTTTCCCCTCTTATGTATCCCTGATTTTGCGGCCTCTAAGTTAATGGGCCTTATTGTATTTTGTTGTATATATTTTCCCCCCTCCATTGGGATGAAAACAATTCACAAGTTATTTTAAAAACCTACATGGCATCAGAGCTGTGGTTCGAAAAAGTTGATGTCCTATGAAAACCGGAAAGTCGAGCGACTTTGAATCAGTGATCTCCTCTTCCGTCAGACACTGTGACGCTGAGTCCTTCTACCACAACGATGGAGATGCCGTGTCTTGAATCTGAGGAATCATCCAAATCTACTTCGCGTCAGGTCACGGCACCCAGGCTTGAAGGTTTGGCAGTTTTGAGTCAGACGATTGTGCTAGAGAAACTCAATGGAGAAAACTACTGTGAATGGCCTAGTCAATGAAGTTGGCGATTGAAGGTCGAGGTAAGCTTGGGTACATCTCCGGCGAGTTCTCTATACCAGATTCAAAAAATCTAATAGCCATGAAACTCTTGAAATCAGAAAACTCCATGGTTTCATCTTGGCTCGTTAACACCATGCTTCCTGCGATCAAGAAGAGCTTCAAGTTCCTCCCCACAGCTCATGAGATATGGGAGGCCATTTGTGAAGCTTAATCTGATAGGGAAAAAGCATCACAAGTGTTTGAAATCAAAACAAAGCTTTGGGAGTTGAAACAGGGGTCACGAAGTCCAAGTGACTACTATCTCGAAAAGGAATCGATCTGGCAAGTGCTTGATCTGAATACTGATGAAGAGTGGAGATGTGCTGATGATGCTGCTCAATTTCACAAACAAGTGGAGAAAGAGCACTTATTCGAATTCCTTACAGGTCTGAATTCTGATTTTGATGATGTTCGTGGTCAAATTCTAAGTCTGGAACCCTTACTTTCAATCCGTAAAGCATTCGCTATTGTTAGAAGGGAATCTTCAAGACGTAAAGTGATGCTAAAAGATTATTCTCTTCCTCAAACAGATACATCTAAGTCCTTTGCACTTGCTGTCTATGTCACAGATCAAGAGAGTAATAAGGGGAGACCCATTTGCGAACATCGTAAGAAAACAGGCCACATTAAAGACACTTGCTGGGACCTTCACTCTAAACCACCAGAATAGAAGCCTAAAAAAGGAAAAGGTCGAGGATATGCTGTTGAAGCATCCAAAAATGAGGAACCACATCTGACGAATTCATTACAGGATGCTCAAATTTGTAATAACCCCTAAATAATAGTAGTAGTAATAATAATCTGCTGGAGTATTATTTTGTAATTTTCTTAACATGCTTTCGTCTTGTTCTGTAATTTTTCCCATGATCGTTTTTATTCAAATTCTCTTCCTCTTTGTCTGTTAAAATGGCAGAAACAGAGCAAGCGAGACAGCTCTTCAAATCTTGCACCAACCTTCACCCTCCGTTCTTCCTCCTCCATCCCTCATCTTCGCCGGATCCTTTGTTTCTTTTGTTCTTCCTTTCTTCTTCTTCTTTCATTTGCTGGTGTGAGTAAGTGCACTTGGCAATCAAATACTGCTGCCGTGGGTTTGATAGAATCGTGACTTCCTCCTCCTCCCTTCTTTTTGTGCATGAAGGTCCAGTACCTGGTTTGCTATTATTGGAGGTTTGTTTGGTGATTTCTTTCTCTCCTTGTGTGTGTTGTCAATGCCTTCTTCCACCCCTTGTTCCACCGTGCTAATTTAGCAAATTAAATTCTTTATTTTCTTCTCTGTGCTGTTGGCGTGTGTGATGTGTGAGTGCTGGACATTGATATTCCTCTTACTTAGATGTTAAATTTTAAACTCTTTCCTTAGCTTTTTGAATTAGAGCTGTATGATTAAGGGAAGAATTATTTATTTAGCTAATGTTAAATTGAAGGCTTGAGTTCTATTGCTGAACAAGGAAATCATGATTAGGATTATGTTATAACAATACAATTAGTTTGGCTAAGAATAAAAATGAAGATTTGGGAGGCATAAAAGAGGATGCATGGAAAATCGATTCAATTTGTAGAAAGATTTATTGATTTATTATATCTAATAGGGATTCTAGAAGAAGAGAAGCTTGATTAAAGTTGTAAGGAAATTTTAAGCACTTGGTGATATATTAAGTAAGTAAATAACGTTCCCCACTAAAAAGAAGTGATGATATTTTTCTTATTTTATTTATTTAATTATTGATCTACTTTAATTTTTTTATAAATAGATCTTTTTATTGCACCTTATGATTAAGCTGATTTAAAGTATGTAGTTAGCTTATTTGTCATTCGAGTTTAATTATGTAGGTTTTATTGTGGTATTATGCTTTCTTAAAAATATTACTCATGCGTAGATTGGGTCAATGATAGATGAAAAAAGGGGGAAAAAAAAGGTTATTTATACTTTACAGGGTAAAGGAAAATTTTGAATTGTAAGAATTTCTAGACTCCATGCATGACAAAAATGTTTTATAAGATTGAATATATAATGTTGGTTGCTAACGACATTTTTGTTAGCCCATAGTGTGCCATGGAATACCTAACTAGCAGAGTATATTGGAGGTGTTAGCCATGTGTGCTGGCCAATACATGTGAAATGGAGGATGCAATTTCATGGATATAATTCACACATGTTATTTGTGAGCTTTATACTTGCACTTATTTTTTTTATTTACCCTTATGAATTGTATGTCCACGCCTGTTGCTCATTCTGTTTAAATCCTAACAGAAAATAAGTTTTTCAAGTTATATTTTTGTCCTTAAGAATTGTATTTTTATAATTTATTTTATATGAAAGACATATTCCTAATTTGTTAATTATGATTCTTTAGTTTCCCTTTTCTATTTCTGTTACTCAATTATTAAAGATAAATTGTGCAATTATTTTCCAATATCATTGATAAATAGATTAGTCATTTATTTCTTGTTTTATATGTTCATGATTATCTTATTTATTATATTATATGAGGACATTATTTATTGAAAAATTTTCATATTTAGATAGTAAAACTGGACCTACTTTTCAGTAGATCTCGTAGGACTCTTGAGACAAGAAGTATTTTGTTGCTTCATTCACATTATGGATTAATGAAAATATTTAAGTATTTTATTTTTTCTCTAGAGTCACTCCGCGAATCCTATAGGTAAAATCCTTATTTAAAATGTTTTAGAAAATGTGTATATACACTGTATCAAAGTAGAACTTCAAATGTTGTTTGGATATTCTTTTGGCGAATTGTGGATATTTTCGGATGGTCTAACTTACAGGGGAAACTTTATCAAAATTTCTACAACAAGCTTGAATATTTTATTACTAATAGTATTTGTTTAATACAAATGATGATTATATGATAAGATTAGGTAATTAAAACATTAGACATTATATAGGTTTGGGCTTATGGAATATGAGTTATTTGCATTCCAGCCGGTCATACTTTAGAAATTTAGGGTGTGACAAAATTAGTAAACTATTAAAGATGCTAACGGCATTGTAGGGCAATCAACAACCAAGTCACCAGCCTGTTCCTTCTGTCGTTAATAGAGGTAATTTTTCAAAGGCAATGGCCATTATTAAAGGTATGAGTTCCAGACATTGTTGAATTGTTGATTTTGATACTTCTAATTACATGACTAGTGATATTATGTTATCTACCTCTTACACTACTTGTAAGAAAAGAATTATTGTAACCATTACTGATGCTATTGACTCTGTGGTCATTAGTACTGATAATATTAAGTTGTCACTTACTCTCACACTCCATCATGTGCTTCACGTTCCAAATTTAAAGTATAGTTTACTATTAGTAAGTTAGTTAGCCTGAGAAGAAAGATGCTATGCTAACTTCTTTGCTACACATTGTCTTTTTAGGATCTGCTGATGGGGATGATGATTAACAGTGCTAAAGAGTTTGATGTACTTTACTACTTGGAAGAAAGTGGTTTTAGTCAAAATAGAACTTGTAATAAAGTGTCTCTCCTGAGGACTAGAGAAATGGAGTTATGGCAGAAACACTTAGGATATCCTAATTTTCATTTTGTCTTAAATGTTTCCTTTAATTTGTTCAAATAAATATTGCTCACAATTTCACTGCAAATCATATGAAATTTCCAAACATCATAGAGCATCCTTTACTCGCCTTGTGTACCATGCATCCCAACCTTTTAATGTCATACATAGTGATTTGTGGGGAACCTCTTGCATTCCCAACCGAACACACTCTAAATGGTTCATCACCTTCATTGATGATCACACACGTGTAAGTTGGGCATTCTTATTGAAAGATAAAACTAACGGTTACCAAACTTTCATTGATTTTTATTACATGATCCAAACTTAGTTTCAAACAAATATTAAAATTATGCATACTGACAAGGTATTGAGTACTTCAACAAACTCTCTTCAATTTCTCAAGTCATGGCATCATTCATAAAAGCACCTGTCCTCACAGTCCATAATAAAATGGGATTACAGAATGAAAAAAATAGCTTAGCAACTAAACAATTTGCATCTCTCATTGATCACTAAAGGGAATCAAATACATATATACAGGTATAGGAGCAATAATATCTCCATAAATCAATGACCAGAATTGATTAATAAATATATGGGATAATATCTAATTAAAACATATTCTACCTAATCCCTGAGAATAACTAAATATTATTATACAATATTTACATTTAATATTTAATAATTATTAGGTCTGACCATACTCCCCCTAAAGTTAGAGCATAGACATTAGTCATGTCCAACTTGCGTATATAGTTATCAAATGTTGGTCTATGTAAGCCTTCAATCAGGATATCTGTAGCTTGTAATTTTGTAGGAAGATAAATGAGACACACTATGCTTTCCTCCACTTTCTCCCTTATAAAATGTATGTCTATCTCCACATGCTTGGATCTTTCATGTTGAACGGGATTTAAGGCCATACTGATAGTAGCCTTGTTATCACAATAGAGTTTCAATGGAAGATTAGTCTTGACATATATCTCCTCCATTACATGCCTTATCTACAATCCTTTTGAGATGCCCTGGGAAAGAGATATTTGTTTAGACTCAATACTGCTTTTTAAAACTACTCTTTATTTTTTACTTTTCCAGGTAACAAGATTTCCCCATACAAATGAACAATAGCCTGAAGTTGATCTTTATCCTTGTAGGTTCATCCCCAATCTACATCAGTATAAACTTTTATTGACCTTTGTTCTTGCCTTTTAAAAAATAAACCT